TATAGCATTCCGAAAATTTGCATTTTAATCAATTTACAATTTCATTATAATTCATTCTAATTCAGTATAACGATAATTCAGTATAACGATAATTCAGTATAACGATAACTCAGTATAACTCAACATAACTCAACATAACTCAGTATAACTCAGTATAGCTCAGTATAGCTCAATATAGCTCAATATAACTCAGTATAATTCAGTATAATTCAGTATAATTCAGGTAAGCAACTCATATATAAAAAAAGTGCAACAAATTTAATTGATCTAGTAAATATTCTTTAGTGCTGACTTAGTGACGCGTGATAGTTTATTCATTTGTAATATATTTTGCGCATTTACATACTTTGATAGATAAAGATAGGGGTTTATTCGAGATTAAACTATATCATATATAGGAAAAAGACATTTGTAATCAATAGCGTTAGGATAAACACTAAAGCATTCATGTAATTAGTATTCTTTTTGTAACATAATATAAATTTAATATTCATTTTGAGTGTTCGTGTTTTTTTTTTTTTTTAAGTAAAACAATTGAATCACGTGAGTTGTTCCTGTACGACATATCGATATCGATATTTGTAATTACCGTTTTTTTAAACTATTATACTTCTGTACTTTCACTTGTGGCTTTTTCGAATCCGAAAAAGCAAGACTATATATATAAAAAAAACCACTAAAAAGTAGTGACATAATCACTAATAAAATAACACTCACTTTTACTTACCATTACATTAAACCGTAACAGAGTAAGCCGAAAATGCAACAACGCTCTAAACATAACGCTCATACCCCAGCTCGCACTCCATCTGACAATGTCAGTCAACGCGTCAATTCTAATAACCCCAATAATAATACTAACACCGTCACAAACGCTAATAGTAATGGTTCTGTTGTAGATAACAGAGATTCTCAACAGCAAAAAGGTCTGGAATGGATGCTTGGTCTTTCTATCCGAGTGAAAACTTCGACTGATGACGAGTATGAGGGTCAGATTTATGCTTATGATCCAAAGTTAAATTGTGTTGTACTTCATATCCTTTTCTTATCTATCTATTATATAAATATATATTTTATATATTTTTCTTTCTTAACGTTATTCATTCTTGATTGATCTTTTTAAAATTGATTTTAATGTCCTTAATTCTATAATTTC